CAAGCAAACACTCGGCCACAGGCCTGAGAATAGATGCCCAACGAACGGTAGCCAACATCCCTACAAGCGGAGTTGAGAAACTTCTTCTTTCTTGTATCTTCTATCTTAGAGGACTCCTTGTTTTATCTGTTGGATCATCTTTTATATTACAACAAGAGGGAGTACACATATAATATCGACGCCATTCATATCTTGTCGTAGATAGATGACACCATCCATATTGGAAAACGGATTTGAAAAAGGTATGTCTACTTGTAACCATATCTATATTGGATATGTTTGTACCCACTAGAGGGTGGTTATGCTACTATGTGCCGTATGGAGGATTGGTGTGCAAAAAAAGTCAGTGTCTAAAGCTGTGTGACAGCTCACGCCACAAACAAAATGAAGCAAGTGCAATCGAGAGGATCGTTGACCTTGCCATATTCAGGTACTGCCGCGAGGATGAAAAGGCATCTTCAGATATTTGTTAGGCACCCACAAGATAGTTTTTTTATTTCACACCTATCAAGACATTTGTATACTTGTAGAAACTTGCCATTTTTTAATTATATATGCAGTTATGCACATGTGCAGCTGCAAAGAAAGTGCTTGTACGTAACATCATCTCTTCATCAGGGGATCTATGCATACACCCATACCCATGTCCATGTGTGAGTTACACTGTAGGAGTGAGTGCAAATGATTGGAACATAGGAGTACTCTGCAACAATTATATCCTAAAATGTACTTCTTAGTCATGACTTGTCTGCTAAAATAGATTCCATGTTAAATTGAACCTACCAAAAAACTATAAATTTCTCTTTTTTTCTCGGTTATAGGCATAAATCATTTTTCTGCTTTTAAAGTGACTTAGATCTTACTTATGTTTAAGTCACTCTACCTTTTTATGGGTAATAAACCTTTTAGGGTAACAAAAAAATTGACGTCAGTAGAAAAAAGCCCTAGAGAAAAAGGTTCCAGCTTAATAAGAATGTTATAGAGGAAACATGCATGTCATTTATCCCGATAGAATAAAAACAAAATTATCATATAAATAAAATTGTTATATCTGGAGGTTGACCGGTCTATACACAAGGGTGCAAAAAGTATCTTGTGCGTAAGCAGGACCAAGATAACTTGTAAGGAGACATGCCCATTTTTATTATAAAATTACTTCAATGGAATGACCATCTTTGATAATAGAATAATCAACATTTTGTGTATTGAACGGTTTTATTTACTATTGTATTTATAAAAATATTGAATTTGTTGTACTAAGAAAACATCTTTTTATGACAAGTAGAGTCTATAAAAAAACTGCAGACTCAAGCTTACTTCAAAGAGGTTGCTTAATGGTTTTAAGGAATGGAAGCGAGCAACTAATCTAAAAAAAAACATATTGAAGGGCCCAAGATGTCACATTGAGTGGGTGAATAGGTGTTCTTTGAAAATTCAAGCACAAAATTGTAACAGACTAGTAATATTTTTTGCAGATTATCTAAGCATTGCATGGATTACCCACACTTATATGGATATTCAAGCAGATTTTCCTCACTCTTATGGATAATCAAACTATCTACACTTTGGCATATATTTAAGCAGATTACCTACACTTTTATGGATATTCAATAAGTACACAACAAACACGAGTGTAAATTACGCCTAGTGAATTCTAGCTGAAACCAACCTTAGAGATGTGGTTCTTTATATTACAATTAGCAATTCCACAAACACACATAACCATGCAAATCGAGTAGAATGAACAAATCAAAACAGGAATTAACCTTAGCCATGGTACCTTGATTGCCAAATCATTGGTTGTCTTCTCCTTAGCTTAAATCATGCAATCCATTTCCTTGCTATCTTCGCCTTATTTTTTTCATCATCAAGTCAATCTTGTCTCGTATCAACAATAAGAAATCACTCGTATTATATTTATATATAATATGGTTTTTGGTTAAATATTTGCTTCTATCAAACAAGCTTCCTTGTTGATTTGTTTGAATTACTAAGTCCTTGTTCATCTTTCTTTTTATTGACTGATAATAACCAAGCAAGCAACCTTCACAATCTCTCTTTGTGTTTCCCATTGCCCTTGATCATCTCTTTCATATTGCTTCTAGCTTGATCAATATCAATGCATTTTCGAAATCCCTTTGTCTATGCGAGCAAGATATCTTTGATACCAAACCATATGAATTTCATATTGCCCCATTTGTCACTTGTATTTTCTTGCATTGCCATTTCTTCAATTATGGACTAACGACTCATCCTTCAATATTGATCAGCAATACCAATGAACATCAACCTTTTTTCATTCATGCAAACAAGCCACCATTGGGTCTAATTAATAGCCATTGTAACCTTGTCCCTTTTGCCTTTTCTGTTTGCTCCCCCTTTCTTCAATTTGAGAAATGACAAGGGTTTGATACTATTAATTGCAATGAAACATCACTTGTTGTTCGCTATCGTATTTGGCTTATAAGCCATTGTTTATCAGCCAACGAACAGTATTTTTCTCTCACACCAAACCAGCCAACAGTACTTTCAGCCACGGCTTATAAGCCAAACCAGCCCAAACGGACATGACGCATATCCGAGGCACACCAAACACATTAGTCCTTTAATTGCTCTGCCATTCAACCACCAAAACCTACAAGGAGGTCTAGATGCACTTTCATTACCTCAAGATCAAGTAGAGATTGTCCATTGTTATGTGTCTTATGGAGTTGATTCTATTGGTTGGCTGTAGGTAAAGATCTTTCCATTACCATGTACTACATAAAGTGTTTGTTGGCAGGTGCCACTTGGAGGTCGTTCTATTGGCAAGTGCCATGTATAGATCAATCCATTGGCAAGTGGCTTATGTAGTTTTGTTCTGTCTACGGATCTCACGCGAGGATCATTTTGTCTCTACATGCTATATAGGTTGTCTTACAGTAAGTGTTGCTTGGAGATCGATCTGTCATTCATTGTCCTAGGTGATTGGACGCGTAGATATTCTTGTATTGTTAAGTGTCATGCAATGATTTATCCTGCAATCGAGTGACATAGAGTTTGTTCGATTAGTAAGATCTAGTTGTCCATTGACAAGTGCCATGTGGAGATCATCATTCTCTATCGGGTAGGTGGTGCATGGATCTCACTCCGCTGGTTAGCGCCATGTTAAACATTCGTGGTTTGATAAGTGCCACATGGAGATCATGCATTTGGCAAGCACGCGTGGCTAGAGATCTATCGATTACCAATATATGCAATACAACACTTTGAATGTTGGTTCATTGTAGATACCTTTTACAGTTGTACCCAATTAAAAATTGAAATCAAAGGATAGGTGATTTTGAAAAGCTTAGAGATAGATTCGTGATAGCTAGATTCAATTAAAAAATTAAAATCTAATGGAAGACGTTTCTAAAATCCCAAAGATACGATCATATCTTAACTATTGGGCTTAATCACAAAGCTATTCAAATTTATACGCAAACTTATGTCCATCCGTTCAAAATCATCTAGATACATTATTTTTACTATGTATCTAGACATATTGTATAGCTAAGTGCATAGCAAAATCTACGAATGTAGAAAACCAAACGTCTTGTAATTTGGAACGGAGGGAGTAACTAAATACACGTCCTAACAAATTACCGTAACAACGGTACAAATCACATATCACCTCCGCAGCAGGAAAAAGAAATCTGAAAAATCTTAAAGATCTTTCCATTAGTACGTACTACATAAAGTTTGTTTGTCGGCAAGTGCCACTTGGAGGTCGCTCTATTGGCAAGTGCCATGTATACAACAATCCATTGGCAAGTGACTATGTAGTTTTGTTCTCCCTGCGGATCTCATGCGAGTATCATTTTGTCTCTACATGCTATACAGGTTGTCTTACAGGAAGTGTTACTTGGAGATCGATCTGTCATTCACTATCCTAGGTGATTGGACGCGTAGATATTCTTGTATTGTTATTAGGTGTCATGCAATGATTTATCCTGTTGGCGAGTGACATATAGAGTTTGTTCGATTAGTAAGATCTAGCTGTCTATTGACAAGTGCCGTGTCGAGATCATCATTTTATTGGTACGTGGTGCATGGATTTCACTCTCTTTGGTGTAGTGCCGTGTTAAACATTCGTGGTTTGATAAGTAAGTGCCACATGGAGATCATGCATTTGGTAGGCACTTGTGGCTATAGGTCTATTGGTTACCAATATGTGCAATACAACACTTTGACGGTTGGTTCATCGTAGATATCCTTTTACAGATTGTATCCAATTAAAATTGAAATTGAAAGATAGGTTATTTTGAAAGCTTAGAGATAGACCCGTGACAGCTAGATTCAATTAAAAAGTTAAAATCTAATGGAAGACGTTTCTAAAATCCCAAAGTTACGATCACATCTTAACTATGAGACTTAGGCCCTGTTCGCGTGCTCTTAAATCCGGCTTGATCCGCTTATTTTTTCATCCAGAACAGTGTTTTTCTCTCACAAATTCCTCCAGCATTCCTCCAAACCATCCAGATTCCTCCAGAATTCAGACAAGCGAACGGACCCTTAATCACTAAGCTATTCAAATTTATACGCAGACTTATATACTCCCTCCGTTCTAAATCATCTAGATATATCATTTTTACTATGTATCTAAACATACTGTATATCTAAGTACATAACAAAATTTATCCATACTGAGAAATCAAAATGTCTTATAATTTTGAATGAAATGAGTAACAAAATATGCATCCTAGTTATTTATTCCATAATAACAAATTATTATAGTAACAACGGCACAGTCTCGTATATCACCACGGCATCATCGAGAAAAAGAAATCTGAAAAATCTTATATAAGAGGCCCCTCCTCTCCCCTCCTCTCGTTGACACCAAAAAAGCTTAACAAAACCATTTCCGGAGGACGAAAAAAAAACCCCCAAAAGCCGAAAGAACTCCTCTCGCTCGAGGGGTGGAAAAGAAGCGGAAGGGGTGACGAGACGAGAGGAAACCCTCGCCTCCGGCACACGCCATGGTGGAGACTCGCCGGAGCTCCGCCGCCGTGGCCGCCGGGAAGCGCCCGTCCCCGTCGCCGTCCTCTTCGTCCGTACCTCCCCCGAAGCGGCCCAAGGTGAGAGCGCCGCCCCCACGCGGATCGAAGAATCTCGCGTCGCCGCCTCCCGATTTGACCTGTCGGCTAACCGATCTGAACCGTGGCCCTGACCAGGCGGAGTCCCCGGGGTCACCGACGGCGTCCGCGCCCGGGAGGGCCGAGGAGGATTCCGTGGCGGGAGCGGCACCCGCGAGGAGCACCGGCTCGGCCGAGGACGTGTCGGCGGTGGCACAGAAAGGTGGGCGGCTTTCGGGCGTTTTGGGATCCTAGGGTTTGGTGGGGGCGGGTTTGGAATCGAGTTCATGGGGTTTTGACGCGTTGGTGCAGATCAAGGAGCGGATAAGCCTTCTTCCGCCGCGGCCGAGAGTTCGAAGAGGAGGAAGGAGCCGGAGCAACAGCAACCCGCAGCACCATGGGCGAAGCTGCTCTCGCAGTGCTCACAGGTGCGGTGACCCTGACGGCAACCCGCCAGCATCCGATTATTGGATAATCTTGGTGTATATGCTGTAGGAATCGAAGTTAAAGATGGCAATTTTTATGCTGGGCTTTGTAAAGATTCAATTTTTAAGCCGTTAGGGGTGAAATTTTGGTCTTCGGATAGCATCTTGCTGTTTGGCTAGATTATTTAGCACGGAATATTACTAGTCTCGCTGTTTAGAGCTTGGTTCTGAGTACAGCTAGGCAGCGTTCTAAAAGGTGCTTTCGGGAGGAGGGAAAAGGGGGTATCAGTCGGCTTACTAGGTTGGGTATATTAACTATCGTATATACTGTTTACTTGTGCTCTTTCAGTCAGCATATTCTCATTAGAAACAGGGGCCAAGCAATACTAGTTCCTGGTAGTATTTGTTATGCCTAGGCTTTTGATTGCAGGAATTTGCAATTCACGGTACCAGATTGCCTGGTTTGATGCTTAGCTCCATTTAGGGCCTACTTTTAGCTGTTCAATGGACATCTGGTTTGGGATACATTGATATTTCTTTTTTCTGTTCTGTAGCTTGTAGGGAACTTGTCCAACATAGCGGCTACCTGTTTTCACTACACGTTCATATGTTCAAGGTTTTGTCATCAGTTAATAAATAGTCACATGTATTGTAGACATGTATATTTAAGGTTACCTAGTGGGCTAAATCCGATCTGTTTGAAGTCATAGTTGTTTGTCTTTGTTGACATGTCTTTCTGTAATGTTGATATCCTGAACTTTTAGAAATCAGTATCTACTTGATGGGACGCATCTTTTGAATTCCTTTGCAATCACCACTGGATCTATTGGTGCTACTTTAACTATTTAGTAGTTGGTCAAGCCCTCACATTTAAAGTAGCTTGTAGGTCAATCTTTGTTGGTTGTTTTTGTTAGCATATATGTTTTTCTGTAGACGTTTATGATTTCAGTTCATAATGATGTAGAACATTGCATGAAACATTCTATTTGTAAATACTGATAGAAAACATATTTATACTACAGACTCCTCACCATCCCATCAGTGTGGCTCAGTTTTCTGTTGGTCAAAGCAAAAGCTGTAATTTGTGGCTGAAAGACCAACCTGTTAGCAAAGTGCTTTGCAAGCTGCGGCGCCTTGAGGTATGTTCTTGTTTTTATGGTTCATATTCATTCCGCGGAGTGCATGAACATTCTCAAGTGTCAAGTGTTAGTATGCAAGTATTTCATTGGCTTTGATGGTTAATTTTCAGCAAGGAGGTCCATGTGAGTTAGAAGTTCTAGGGAAGAAGGGTATGGTCCAATTAAATGGAAGGCCCATAAGTCCAGGCACAAAAGTTCCCCTTACAGGAGGGGATGAAGTCATATTCAGTTCATGCGGAAAGCATGCTTATGTATCCTTTTATCATTTCCGGTTCATTCAGTCGTATATTTTTTCTTCAGTTACATCTCTTTCTTCATGACTGTAGTATGCACTTTGAGAATGGAGAAATGTCATATATGTTACCTGTTTTTTCCTTTACCGACTCATAGATTTTTCAGCATCCTTTGAATGACAAAGTTCCTAAAACGGTGCCATCATCTGCTGTTAGCCTTCTAGAACCTCCCGTTGCTAGCGTAAAGCGCATCCGTACAGATAAGAGAACAGGAGACACTTCAGCTGTTGCTGGTACAGAGATGTTGGCATCTACATCTAATCAGCCGAAGGATGTAGCAGCAGTACCTCCGGCGGCAGCCGGAGAGAACAGCCAAAGAGTAGTGCGGCCAATGGCATCATCTGCTTCTGATAAATCAAAAGGGCGTGCTGTGAGCCCTGATAAGGAATTTGAGAATGGGGAAAATGCTAATGAGGTAAATTCTAACATTGAAGACTCTCCAATGGATGTCGCTGCAGCCCCCATATCTCCTGATGATGCTGCGAACGATACCTGTCAACAAAATGGCTTTGGGCCTGATACTCATCTTGGTGCAGAAATCGGTAAGATTGCAACCTATAAGATAAGGCCAGTTCTGACGATGATTAGAGGATCAACTATATCCGAGTTCGATTTGACTGGTGATCTTTTTAAAGCTCTTGAAGATCAGAGGGATCTCATCAGGGATCTTAACGCTTCAACCAGTGTGCCTCCAAGTAGATGTCAAGCCTTTAAGGATGGGATGAAACAAGGAATTATTAATCCAAGTGATATTGATGTTACCTTTGAGAATTTTCCTTATTATCTCAGGTGATATGCTTTGGATTTGTGTTCCTTTGCTGCTTTGACATTATTCTGTTTATGCAAGATTCTTGTCATGCTGTCTATTTGAAGTTTTGCATATGCATCTGTTATTTATATGCTACATTATAAAAATCTAAGGTAATTTGTCTATTCTTCTTTGGTTAGTTTTGAGGTTGCCAACAATGGTGTATGCTTAGTTCTTAGATTATAGAAATTGGTTGGTTGAGTTTTTCTTAAAGCCATGTAAGGGCTGTCTGCAGACCAACCTTGGGATGCAGCTTGATATTTCTTTTTAGTCATCACATGTCCTTATCTTTGTATTTATCGGTTCTCATCTCATGCAGTGAGAATACAAAGAATGTGCTCTTATCATGTGCATTCATACACTTGGAAAAGAAGGAGTTCATCAAGCAGTTTGCTGAGATTTCATCAATAAATCAGCGAATTTTGTTATCTGGTCCAGCAGGTACTTACTTTGTCTCTGTTTGGAGACCTGTACTTTGTTGTTTACCTTTTCCCATGGATTTAAACTGGAGTCACTAGGCCTTGAGTTATGGCAGTTGCCATACTTTTCTCGAACAATGCTAGTGACCATACTTGTTTGATAATTATCCCAGTGCTTGTGCTCTTGTATTCCTCTGATTTTTCTGTGGCGATGCATTTAGGTTCCGAGATTTATCAGGAAACATTGGTAAAGGCACTTGCCAAACATTTTGGTGCTAGACTCCTTGTCGTGGATTCACTTTTGCTGCCTGGGGTAAGCTCATCATGTATATTTATTTACTGCTAAAGAATATTCAGAAGCTAAGAAACCTTGAATCATTGCATGTTCCATTACCATTTTCCTATTCTGAACAAGAAATCCATGTAGGCACCTTCCAAGGATCCAGAATCCCAGAAAGATGTTGGGAAGGCTGATAAATCGGGGGATAAGGCAATTGCTGAGAAGTTTGCAATATATCAGAAGCATCGTTCTTCGTTGGCAGACACTGTTCACTTCAGGAGGCCAGCTGCACCAACTTCCAGTGTGAATGCTGATATTGTGGGAACATCCACTCTGCATTCTGCATCTCTACCGAAACAGGAAAATCAACAGCTACATCCAAGAGCTATACTTTCAGAGAAGGTTTTGTTAGCTATTCTTTATTACTTAATGTATTGAGTTATATTTTTCTCAAACATGATTTTGCCTCCACATCTTCTGTAGGTGATAGGGTGCGTTATGTGGGTCCAGCTCAGCCACCCTCGTTGTCACAAAGGTACATCGATTGCAAATATTATTCCTGTCTTCAGATGTATCCAATGCTTGTTCCTTAGGCTTCTACATTATTATCATCGGAATTTTGTTCCAGTAGGCAATGCATGCTTTAGTACTGCAAGGAAGTTTATCATTAGTGGTATTAGAGTTTCAGGGACAGATAATTTGTGCCTTAAATTTTGTATAAAGTGGATATTTAATGACTTTTGTCATTCTATTGGTATGAGTTCTGACGAGAGGTATTTTATGTCTTATATAGTCTTTGTGGTGCGAAGGGTAAGGAAGCTAGTCGAACCAACTAGGATCCGTTTAGGTAGTTGGAAGCTAGTCGAGCCAACTAGGATCCGTTTAGGTAGTTGGAATGTAGGGTCGCTTACAGGTAAGTTAAGAGAATTAGTTGATACCGCGACTAGGAGGCGTGTAAATATATTATGCGTTCAAGAGACTAAATGGAAGGTTCAGAAGGCGAAGGAGGTGGACAATACAGGTTTCAAGCTTTGGTACACAGGGACAATCGCGAATAGAAATGGAGTAGGAGTTTTGATTGATAAGGGCCTCAAGAATAGTGTGGTGGGAGTGAGAAGGCAAGGAGATAGGATTATCTTAGTCAAGCTTGTCATTGGTGATATGGTCTTGAACGTAATTAGTGCGTATGCCCCCCAAGTAGGCCTCGACGAAAGTGCTAAGCTGGGAAGACTTAGATGGCCTGATTAGAGCTATACCTAGTAGTGAGAAGTTTTTTATAGGAGGAGATCTTAATGGGCATGTAGGTACTACAAGTGCAGGTTTCGAGGCAGTTCATGGGGGTTTTGGGTATGGTAGTAGGAATCAGGAGAGGGAGGAAGTTCTGGACTTTGCGGTAGCTTTTGACCTGATGATAGCCAACACTTTCTTTAGAAAGAGAGAATCTCATCTAGTGACCTTCAGTAGCGGACAACACTCTAGCCAGATTGACTTTGTCCTCGCAAGAAGAAAGGACAAATGAGCATGCTTGGGTTGCAAGGTGATACCAGGGGAGTGTGTTGTTTCTCAACATAAGTTTTTGGTGGCAGACTTTCGTTTTCAGGTGCGTGCCCGTAGGGATAAACAAGCTAAGATTGAAAGAACAAAGTGGTGGAAACTGAAAGGGGAGACGTCAGAGGTATTCAGGGAAAGGGTTATCAAAGAGGGCTCTTGGAAGGAAGAAGAGGACATAAACAACATGTGGGAGAAGATGGCAACCAACATTCGGAAGGTGGCCTCAGAGGTGTGTGGAGTAACCAAAGGAAGTGGAGGCGAGGCTAAACATACTTAGTGGTGGAACGAGGAAGTCCAAAGGGCTATTAAGGAGAAGAAAGAATGCTATAGACGCTTGTACCATGACAGGAGTGTGGACAACATAGAGAAGTCCAAGGTGGCAAAGAAGACTGCAAAGCGAGCTGTAAGTGTGGCAAAGGGTAGAGCGTACGAGGATCTTTACCAACATTTGGGTACGAAGGAAGGAGAGAAGGACATTTATAGCATGGCTAGGGTTCGTGAGAGAAAGATAAGGGACTTCAACCAAGTTAAGTGCATTAAGGATGAAAGGGAGCATCTCTTGGTGAGGAGGATGAGATCCGACATCGATGGCAAGAGTATTTTGACAAATTGTTCAATGGTGAGAATACGGACACAACCTTTTAGAAGGATGACTCTTTTGATGACACCAATAGGCGCTTTGTGCGGAGAATCCAAGAATATGAGGTCAGAGAGGCGTTGAAAAGGATAAAAGGAGGTAAGGCGATGGGACCGGATAGTATCCCAATCGAGGTGTGGAGATGTCTCGGGGACATAGCTATAGTATGGCTAACCAAGCTGTTCAACCATATTTTTCGATGGAACAAGATGCCTGACGAGTGGAGAAGTATATTGGTACCGATCTACAAGAATAAAGGGGATATTCAAAGTTGTACTAATTACCGGGGAATTAAGTTGATGAGCCATACTATGAAGCTATGTGAGAGTTATCGAGCATCGCTTTGAGAGCAATAACGCGGGTCTCTATGAACCAATTTGGTTTCATGCCCGGAAGGTCAACCATGAAAGCTATTTTCTTAATAAGACAAGTTATGGAGCGGTATAGGGAGAAGAAGGACCTACACATGGTTTTTATTGACTTGGAGAAGGCTTATGATAAAATACCAATGAATGTTATGTGGTGGGCTTTGGACAAACATAAAGTCCCAATGAAGTACGTCGGGCTCATGAAGGACATGTACAACAATGTTGTGACTAGTGTTCGAACAAGTGATGGAGACACAGATGACTTCCTGATTAGGATAGGACTACATCAAGGGTCAGCTTTGAGCTCTTATCTGTTTGCCTTAGTGATGGATGAGGTCACAAGGGACATACACGGGGACATCCCTTGGTGTATGCTTTTCGCGGACGATGTAGTGCTAGTTGATGAAAGTCGGACAGGAGTGAATCAGAAACTGGAGTTATGGCGGGAGACTTTGGAGTCCAAAGGTTTTAGACTCAGTAGAACTAAAACTGAGTATATGAGATGTGACTTCAGCACTACTACTCGGGAGGAGGAAGATATTAGTTTGGAAGGTCAAGTAGTGCCTAGGAAGGATACCTTTCGATATTTAGGATCAATGCTACAGAGAGACGGGGATATTGATGAAGATGTTAGCCATAGAATCAAAGCAGGGTGGATGAAGTGGCGCCAAGCATCTGGTGTCCTATGTGACAAAAGGGTACCACAAAAGCTAAAAGGTAAGTTTTATAGGACGACGATTAGACCTGCTATGTTGTATGGTGTAGAATGTTGGCCTACGAAAAGACGACATGTTCAACAGATAAGTGTCGCGGAAATGCGTATGTTGCGTTGGATTTGCGGTCATACGAGAAGGGATCGAGTTCGGAACGATGATATACGTGATAGATTATGGGTAGCACCAATTGAAGAAAAGCTTGTCCAACACCGATTGAGATGGTTTGGACATGTCCAACGGAGACCTCCAGAGGCACCGGTGCGTAGTGGAATCCTAAGCCAGGATAGTAATGTGAAGAGAGGCAGAGGAAGACCGAAGTTAACTTGGGTAGAGGCAATAAAAGGAGACTTGAAAGGATGGAATATACCCAAAGACTTAGCCTTAGATAGGAGTGCTTGGAAAACAGCTATTCACGTGCCTGAACCTTGATTGCTTCTGCTGGGTTTCAATTCTAGCCTACCCCAACTTGATTGGGACTTAAAGGCTTTGTTGTTGTTGTTATTGTTGTTGTTGTTGTTGTTGTTGATAGTCTTTGTGGTATGAACTTTTGTGCTACAAACTGATATCAATTAACATTTGCACAAAATCTTATCTTGTCCTCTAGATTCAATCTTGGTGTTACAAGTTGGAGGTGGGTTTTCCCCCATCCCACTATAACTTTTCCTTTTATCAAGCTGAACTCGGCAAAAAGCCATTCCAAGCGGGACCACCAGTTGCTTGGGCCGCCAATATATTGACAGACTAAGATTAAGTTTGTGAAATACTGTTCGCCCAAACGATTGTTTAGCCCGTTTACTAACCGTTTAAACGATATGTGGTGGTACACCGTTGCCGTTTAATTGGTTGTTTTGCCTGTTTAACAGCCGTTTTTCTAGTTTAAATGACAAGTGACCAACTGTTCACCGTTTAGGATAACATGTCCACCAATTATGCTTGTGCACCTGACACTTCATCATTTTTGAAAGATAAGATAGTCTTTACAAACTATAGTTTACTATGGTTGGATGAAACATTTTTCCCATGGAATTCGTGTCTGTACAAAGTAGGCCTCTTAAACAGGAAGAGGAATGACTCGAATATGAGACTTCTCATAGGGAACCCACTTATGAGCTTGCTTTTGTACTTATAATCCTGGAAAATGATATATTCTTTCTCCTGATGACTTTTTTTTTTCTAGCAACCATATTCATTCAATCCATACATTTATTCTTATAAATTATTTGATTGATCTCCAGGGGACCAAGTTATGGTTATCGAGGCAGAGTGATGCTTGCTTTTGAAGATAATGGATCCTCAAAAATTGGAGTCAGATTTGACAAGCAGATCCCTGATGGTAATGATCTTGGCGGTTTGTGCGAGGAAGATCATGGCTTCTTCTGCTCTGGTTAGCTCAAACTTTCGAATTCCTCAACTTCTTTGGCAGTTATTTGAACTCTTTATTTGTTGCTGAGGACGCATTATTTCCACAGCTGAATTACTGCGCCCAGACTTTTCTGCCGGTGAAGAAGTTGAGAGGCTAGCTATGACCGAGTTAATAGAGGTACTGCTGCTTTTTAGGACAAGGAATCCTGTTGAATATGAAGTTAGCACTCTGTATAATAGTATGATTTTCATTTCCTGTCAGGTCATTTCAGAAGAGAACAAAGCTGGACCTCTGATAGTGTTACTTAAGGATGTAGAGAAATCATTCACTGGAGTTACAGAGTCACTTTCATCTTTGAGGAGCAAACTTGAATCGCTTCCATCTGGTGTTCTTGTTATAGGATCCCACACCCAGATGGACAGCCGCAAAGATAAGGTACATGCATTATTCCTGATAAACTAGACAAATTTGGATTGTGGGGGTTTCAAGTTCTGATGCTATTTTGGCATATTGGTTCCTGCATTCATTTTGTAATTGAACAAGGCCGAGTTATTTTTTCTACCTTGCATTGCTGTGATTTTTCACTTCCCCACACCAGGGGTTCTTTGTTGGCATATCCTGTTAACCCGTCTTTAATTTTTATCAGTTACCTCTCTTCAATTCTAGCAAAAGTTTGCTAAGATGGTGAAGTGATGTTTCTTGCAGGCGCATCCTGGAGGTTTTCTTTTCACAAAGTTTGCCAGTAGCAGCCAGACACTTTTTGACCTTTTCCCGGTAAATTTTCTATGTTAGTCTGATGAACCATGATATTGATTTTATCTCCCTGATTTGCATTGTTTTAATTTAATATGATTTTTATTAAAAATGCAGGATAGCTTTGGTAGCAGGTTGCATGAAAGAAGCAAGGAAAGTCCAAAGGCAATGAAACATCTAAATAAACTTTTCCCAAACAAAATTTCGATCCAGCTTCCACAGGTGATTATATCTCTTGCTACACTCATTTAGTTGTTATTAAGTATATATTTTCTGATCTGAATAATTAAATTTGCAGGATGAAGCTCTACTTACAGATTGGAAGCAGCAGTTGGATCGTGATGTTGAAACACTTAAAGCCAAATCAAATATTGGTAGCATTCGCACGGTAAGCTGCAGAATAGAAGTCAACATTATACTTGTCCCTTGGAACTTGATATTTCCCACTGTCAACTGTATCTTTCTTTAAACTGAAGGGCCTGTGATGCCTGTCTAATATGGCCTGGGTGTATTATTCTCAAATGACCATTTACATGTGTTTGATAGTATTTCTTCTGTTTGATATTTTGTTGCCTGTTTCTGTATGAATGCATATTTTCACCATTTGTATGATTATGCAATTATTTTATGTCTATATATGCTTTTGCTGTTAATATGGTTGAAAGCATCAAATATCCTCATAGAAGTAACTTTTTGATATAGCCATTTAACCAAAATGTCTGGCCTTGGGCCTTTCATGGTTACTTTAAGCTTCTACTTTCCGTGGTTACTTATGATTAACGAAGCAGACCATTATATGATTCTTCACTTTCTCTGTAATGCAGTTTCTGAGCCGCAATGGAATTGAATGCAATGATCTTGAAGAATTATTCATCAAAGACCAATCACTGAGTAATGAAAGTGAGTACTTTTGTTTTGGTTTGTTCACATTTCATCTAAAGAGTTTCAGTTTAAACTTTTCTCCTCCAACCTTTCTTAGATGTGGACAAGATTGTTGGGTACGCAGTGAGTTATCACCTTAAGCACAATAAAATTGAAACGTCCAACTCCAAGGATGCTAAACTTGTACTCACAAGTGAAAGGTAAAAAAGTTTTTTCTTATTGAAAACTATTTGTCCTATGTTTCCTTTCAAGTCAATTCTGAGTGGATTTTTGAATCATTTATTTACTTGACAGCCTTAAGCATGGGCTCAACATGCTGCAAAGCATGCAAAGTGATAACAAGAGCTCCAAAAAATCACTGAAGGTACACTCTCCCACTTATTGCCATGCTTTCTGGTGATTCCTCAACTTAGTTGCTGAACACTATACTTATAAATCCTTTTTCTCAGGATGTTGTCACAGAGAATGAGTTTGAGAAAAGGCTTTTGGCGGATGTTATACCACCTAATGACATTGGAGTTACCTTTGATGATATTGGAGCCTTGGAGAATGTAAAGGACACGTTAAAGGAGCTGGTGATGCTCCCTTTACAAAGACCTGAATTGTTCTGCAAAGGGCAGTTAACAAAGGTAGTATCATAATGCCTAATTATGCTTGAAATCGCTTACATGGGGTGTCAGAGTGTTCTTTCCAACTGTAGGGTTGCCCATGTGGTTGATATTTTTTCAAGCGTTGAATCCACGATCTAAGAACCATTTTTAATCATTTTGCTTTGAACTGAGCTAAGATACAGTCATGCCTTTTTGCCATTTCATAGTATTGCTTGAATATTTGTGAAATAATTTGCATGAATGCCAAGATAAAATCTCCAAGGAGCATCAGTTTTCTTTGGTCTTCCAGAGTTATCTGAGTCACTAGTCCTCTAGTTAATTTGGCAGTATTGTGTCTATAAGGTTTTTCACCTTTCTAAAGAGCGGGAAAATACTTGGGGGGACTAAGATTGAGGCTTATGGATTAGTTGGTGTGTAGCCTGATGGAAATGTCACGAGCTGACTCTTCACATGAACTCTTGGCTTCCAGTGATTCCTTACCTCTTTATTTATATACTGTATTTAATAATGTGTTATTACTTAGTATTAGTTAATCTTATTAGATATGTTGGAGTTTTAAAACTTCATTTGTAGATTATCTTGATTTACTATGGTCATGATCTTATAACTGCCTCCTCAATTCATTCTTTGCAGCCTTGCAAGGGGATATTGCTTTTCGGACCTCCTGGCACTGGGAAAACTATGCTTGCCAAAGCAGTAGCAACTGAAGCAGGTGCTAATTTCATCAATATATCAATGTCGAGCATTACATCGAAGGTATTATTTCACCTAATGGGCAACTGGTGAGGTTCACTAGTGTCTCAAGGCTAACCAGTGGTTCATTTACTTTCAGTGGTTTGGTGAAGGAGAGAAGTATGTAAAGGCTGTTTTCTCACTAGCAAGTAAAATAGCCCCCAGTGTTATATTTATTGATGAGGTATGCAAGCGCACAAGTTTACATTAGTAACCACTATCGGTACAGTGTATACCAACTGTTTTGACTTTCTGCAGGTCGATAGTATGCTAGGAAGGAGAGAAAATCCAGGGGAGCATGAAGCGATGCGCAAGATGAAGAATGAATTTATGGTAAATTGGGATGGGTTGCGCACTAAAGATAAGGAGCGTGTGCTTGTTCTTGGTGCTACAAATAGACCGTTTGATCTGGACGAGGCTGTGATTAGGAGGTTCCCCCGCAGGTGATTATTGGTCCATTCAATGGGGGCAGGATTACCCAGTTGGGTAACCGTAGTTTTGTTCAGTGGGCTATGATTATCTAATTGTTGCTGTTGGGTAGCAATAGTTTTGTTTGCTTGGGTGGGATTATCAAATTGCTGTTGGTTCCATATTTATCACCATTTTACTCAATTGTTTCAGGTTAATGGTAAACTTACCTGATGCATCAAATAGAGAGAAAATTCTAAAAGTAATTTTGGCAAAAGAAGAGCTGGGATCGGATGTTGATCTGGACTCACTTGCCAATATGACTGATGGTTATTCAGGAAGCGACCTTAAGGTATGTTTGCTTTTTATGCATGCAATTGCTAGAAACCCTTTGCATGGTTTTCACTGAGTTTGTGCTTTCAGAATCTGTGTGTGACCGCAGCGCATTATCCCATTCGAGAAATTCTGGAGAAGGAAAAGAAGGTACACAATGTTGTCTCTGCTTTTGGTTGCTCTGTTTGCACTTGGCAGTACGGTTATCCTTTGCAGCAGGGAGCAGTGATGTGTGAATTATGCATTTTACTGTTGAATCATTAATATTGGGTTCAATTCCATTGTATGCAGGAGAAGAATTTGGCTAAAACAGAAGGTAGGCCAGAGCCTGCATTGTATGGAAGCGAGGACATCCGTCCTCTTAGCATAGATGACTTCAAATCTGCCCATGAGCAGGTGAGAACACCAAATTTGCCTCCATTTCATATCTCCTTCTGACTTTCTCTACAACCTACATTCTTGTTTCTAGAGCAGCATCCTAACCTCTTTTTACTCACTGCAGGTTTGTGCGAGCGTTTCGTCTGATTCAGCAAACATGAACGAGCTTCTTCAATGGAATGACCTGTATGGTGAAGGCGGGTCAAGGAAGAAGAAAGCGCTGAGCTACTTCATGTGATGGTGAGAGCATAAAATCCGAAGGATCACAACCTTGCCATAAAATCAGAAGGATCACAGTTGCGCCTTATTGTACAGCCACCATAGTACACCCCATGGCATGTGCGTCTGCGCGACTTGGCCGGCCCCAAATCCAGTCGGGTTTTTCCTCCTCCCCCCAAAGTAGCCGTGGCTGGCCGGCTGTCGTCCCCTCCGCCTGGTGTAATTAAAACTGTGTACCGAGTCGAGTTCGTTTACCAGCTGTTTGAGGTTCCAGAGTTAAGATTTAAATTAAAATGGTGCCATTGCCCTCCTCCAACCTCCCTTAAGTCCTCCCCTAAGTTAACTTTGTTGCGGCCATGGTCCTTGGACTCTGGATATAGGTCTTTGTGTACCCCTGTACATGCAAAATGAAGGGATATGAAATAAGAACATCTTCATCCTGTTGTTGACAGTATGGTACATAAATTTTTTGATAGCTGACTGGCGATGAATTGGATCGGTGCCAACATAAGAATTATGCAAGGGTGCCTGTCCTGCCATTGAAATTTGTGTGTATGGCGAGTGGATTGGGTATTGTGAGATGAATGGCATGACAGCACATGGATTTTTTATGCGTCTCCTGTTGTCTTCCAATTGCGAAATGCAAGGGAGCAAACGTCCAGTATAACGAACTTACCGTCATTTTGTCTATTTACCGATTCACTTTATTATTAGAACAAAAAAAAAAAAAAATACAGGCAGAGCTGAATTTTCCGTGAACTTGGTTCTCTTGAATGATGCACCTCTGTTTCGTAGCACTCATAATGCAAGAGTTGCGACTATTTCATTGGTAATATTGTTTTTCTCCGTCTTTGAATAATGCGACAAAGTCTTTTCATAGCTCTAAATGTTGCAATAAGCTCAGTCTTTTCATAGCTCCTTATGGATAGACTAAACACAAGGAACATCCTAAAGAGGAAGAAGCACAAGCTAGAAGGCAAAAACTATAAGGGTCTGATTGACGTATATATTGGATGGCTGGCATTGAATTGGGTACCAATACCAAATTAGCCTAGTATTGAAAATGAGCTACAATACCAAATAAGATGTTTGGACGTAGATGAAATTGCTATTTGGAATCAAGGACATGGCAAATACCAAATAAATGTTTGGATGTACATATCTCGTCGAATTGAATCGACTCGCCTTCATCCCCACTGAGCCCGTGGCCATTGGCGGCGGCGGCGGCACCTACGCCCCCACCCCAGGGTGCACCCTACTCCGCGCGAGGAGGAACCCGAGCGTGTGGCCGGCCACGGCGGAGAGGAGCACGCTGCCGTTGAAGGACATGACGGCCAGCATGGCGAGGTACGCCGTGCCCATCCTGGTGGCGTGCGCCGCCGTGAGCAGCGCGGCCGAGGACGCCAGGACGCGCCCTGCTGCCCCACCCCCCGCGCCGCGGCGCGCGACGCAGCGCGAGCGCCTCGGTGAGCGCGGCGAGCGCGAGCACGAAGAGGAGGCAGAGGAGGTACGCCCCGGCGCCGGGCCACACCGGGAACAACACCACCGCGCGGTCGCCCCAGAAGAAGGACATGTGCATCATCGTCATGTGGGGAGCCGAGGCCGAGGCCGAGGCCGCCTTGCCCACGCCCATCGGCGGCGGCGCCAGCGCCGTCTCCATCGTCGGGCCCATGCCCTTCATTGCTGCTGCTGGATCTTTTGGACCGGAATAACGAGGACTGAGTTCTTGGCTACTCAACAGCGAAAGAGGGGGATCCTAGATCCCCGGCTGTAGACCGCCGGCGGTGGGGATCCAGGCACCTTAGTGGTGGCCTCGAGGAAGAAGCGCTCGTCCTCGACAGAGTCCCTCATATGCGACGTGGCCGGACTCGAGGAAGAACCGCTCGGGCTCCTAGATCATTGTCGAGCTTGGGAAGAAGGAGAGGATCCCACACCTCACCTGACATGGGGAAGAAGGAGAGGGCGGCGAGCTTGACCGGTGGGGGAGGGGTCGGGGCGGCGAGGGCGCTCGACGGGGGAGGCGTTGGGCCGGTGAGCCGGCGGGGGAGGGGTCGGGGCAGCGAGGGCGCCCGGTGAGGGAACGTCGGGCCGGCGAGGTTGACCGGCGGGGGCGCGAGAGGGAAATGTCGGAGCCGCGGGAGGGAAGCGTCGGGCATTGGGGTTGCAATTGGGAGAGGTCATTGGGGTCATCGGAAGCATCGGTCATTGGGGTTGCAATTGGGAGAGGTCATTGGGGTTGCAATTGGGAGAGGTCATCGGAGCCGTGAGAGGGAAGCGTGCACCCAATATAGAGCCTTACCCCTCTGTATTGGGAGAGGTCACTCCTAGTTCTAGTCCATACCAAGGCATTGGGGTTGCAATTCTAAATCTCAATGCCATGGACATCCAAACACCAGAATTCGGGAAACATGATTTCAATTCCCAATTCCAGGCTCCAATATCTATATCCAAACGGGGTATAATTGTATTCTATGCAGCAACAACGTTGAAGAAACTGCTATTCTTTAGCTATCCCTTCAGTCAAGCCTGCTGGCTATGCTTAGGGATTCACTGGGACTTTACAGGATTTTTTTTTCCAAATGATGAAACAGGCAAAACAACAGTTTCAACACTCCATGGAGATTTTCATCATTGCTGCTTGGCAGATTTAGAAGCAAAGAAACAACTTCATCTTTGATAGGGGCTGTCCTTCCCTGGAGTCTTCTTTTGCAAAGAGGCCAGGTTACGGGCTTTTAGACTTGAACTTATCAGCACTCATTTTAGACTTGAATCTATACAAAGAAGGAACTCAAGACATTTGTCTTTCACCGGACTTGTTCGCTCGAACTTATCAGCACTTATTTTCAGCCATGGAACAATATTTTTCTCTCACAACAAATCAGCATCAACATTAGCAGCAGCTTGAACTTCCTTGAGCTTGCCTCCACTGTTCTTTTCTTTTGTGCTTTGGCTTGATTAAAGCCTCCCTTTTGCATATATAGACTTTGCTATGCACTTAGATATATATTATGTTTAAATACATGGTTACAGTAATATATCTAGAAAAATCAAAATGTCTTATAATTTGGAACGGAAGAAGTAATAAAACTATAAAGTGGGGCTTCCCTTCTTGTATTTTACGTTAAAAAAATGCAAGCTGATGAGCTGTAGCCTTTTTTTTTTTGGGTTAAGAGAAGAGACCATATAGATGGTCGTGTGGTTGAGCTGATGAGCTCCGATGGCTGTCAAATTAATTATTTGCCTGTAGAATGCGGGAAGGTTAGCTGCATGCTGTGCTTAATTACTTGCCAAACTGTAATTTAGGGGCGGAGTCATCCCGCGTTAGAACCAAAACCGCTAGAACTGGGTCCTTCCCAAAAACAAGAAAGCCTCTCCCGCGTGGCTCTGCGGCTTGCTCTGGCGGGTGGCTGGCGACGCCGGCCTGCTCCGACGCGACGCGGGATCGGGGAGCCGGAGGCCGCTGGTGGACCGGACGAACTTCGCTGCTTGGGGGATTGGCCGAATCGCTCAGCACCTCGCCGTGTGCTTTGGAAGACGACGGGGATTTTATATTTTTACTATTATAAAGATGGTCACTCGTCCGAATATCACTCTTAGGACGACATTTCCAACTTTACCAGATGAGAGAAGTTTTAGTTATAGATTTATCACTTTTGCGCATGTGGCATGCCACGCTAGCTCGACACGCTGGTGCCTAGTCAGCATGAGCACGTGAAATATCGTTGCTACCCAGCCTTGCTCCTCTCTCTCCATCCTCGACAGCTGGGTTCCGCGGCACCTGTCACTGCCAGGTGGGCCCCACTAGTCAGCTTCATCTTCCAACTCTAGCACCTGGATGGGAGACAGCCGCTCGCCATGGCCAGAGCTCCATCGCCCAGTGCGTGGATGTGGCATGCACCACAGGCTCGGCATGGCCTTCACGCCCAGCTCGCCGGAGCAGCTGCTCCCCATGCGAGGTCCCCAGCGGGTGAGCCACCACCTCGGCCTCCCTCTCCGCGAAGTTGCTCACATGCGTGGCCGCGAGGCCGCGGCGGAGCTGTTGTTCGCACGTGCGCCGACGAGGCCACGGGGGAGCTGCTCGCGCCCGCGCTTGCGAGGCCGCGGGGGAGCTCCTCGCGCCGCGCCGGCGAGGCCGCGGTAGAGCTGTTGCTCGCGCGCCTCCTCCTCGGCTTCCTCATGCCGTGCTGCTCCGAGCTCCGTCCGACCGTCCCCCACGCGGGCCACACCTCCTCCTCCGCTAACTGCTGTGTGCTGCTCCATCCTCCGTCCTCTTGCCCACGGGATCGAAGAGTAGCAACCGTGGAGAACCGGCCACGAGCTAGAAGACGAAGCTGACTAGTGGGACCCACCTGGCAGTGACAGGTGCCACGGGACCCAGATGTCGGGATGGAGAGAGAGGAGCAAGACAGGGGTAGCAACGGCATTTCATGTGCTCATGCTGACAAGGCGCCATCGTGTCGAGCTAGCGTGGCATGCCACATGCGCAAAAGTAGTAAATCTAAAACTAAAACTTCTCTCATCTAGTAAAGTTATAAGTGTCATCCTAGGAGTGATATTTGAATGAGTGTCAATCTTTATAATGGTAAAAATATAAAAGCTCCGAAGACGACGAGGTAGGGTGGACGCCCACGCCCACCAGCTGTTCGACGTTTTGGTTCGCCGGGACGATAAAAGTTGCAGGTGCGTTTGGCTGAGCTTTGTCTTCTTGTTTAGTTTCCGGTGAGTGTGTGCCTGGAGCTGGGGCTCCTTCGGAGCTCTGTTGCGTAGCTCAGGGAGCTCTGTACGAGCGTACACTCAGTTGTTCTGTGGGTGTTTTGCATAGTTTCCTTGCTGGTAATGTGGTGAGTGCCTGGAGTTGGAGCATTGTAGGTGCTCAGCTCTTCGGTCTTGGCTTAAGTTTTTTGCCCCATGAGGCCTTGTTCGGTTGTTGGGGGGTTTTGTTCCCCACTGAGGTCCAATCCCCGCAGGGTTAGAGTGGACCCCTGTCTCACACTCTTGATCCCTGTTGGGTTCAAAACC